GCTCCAAGAGATGAAGAAGTCCTCCCACGATATTAAAAAAGGATTGGACACCATAAAAAGAATCAAATGAAACTGTCCATATACTGCCTACAAGAAACCCATCTCATGGATAAAAAGACATACATAGATTAAAAGCGAAGGACTGGAAGAAGGTGTTCCATGCAAATGGAAACCAAAAAAGAGTGAGAGTCGCCATACTGATTTCAGACAAAATAGGCTTTGTGACAAAAAACATAAGAAGAGACAAAGAAGGGCATTATATAGTAGTAAAAGGGCTAATTCATCAAGAAGATATAATGCTTATAAATATCTATGCACCCAACTCAGTAGCACCCAAATATGTAAAGGAAGATTGATAGATCTAAAAGGAGAGATAGACTGTCACACACTAATTGTTGGAGATCTCAGCACCCCATTAGACAGATCAATGAAACAAAAAATAAGCAAAGAGATACAGGACCTAACTGATACCATAAAGCAGATGGACTTGACAGACATCTATAGAACTTTCCACCAAAAAACCACAAAATAAACATTTTTCTCAGCCCCACTTGGTGCCTTCTCGAAGAATGACCACATGATAGGGCATAAAACTAGCCTTTACAGAGTTGAAGGCATAGAAACTATATCCAGCATCTTTTCAGACCATGATGGAATGAAACTTGATATTAATTCAGGAAAAATCCTCAAAAATACACAAATACATGGAAACTAAATAATCTACTTCTGAATGATTTCAGGACTATTGAAGACATTAAGACTGAAATAAAAAGATTTATGGAAACAAATGATAATGAGAGCATGAGCTTCCATAATCTATGGGACACTGCAAAATCAGTCATAAAAGGAAAGTTCATAGCAATCAGTGTGCATAAGAAAAAGAAGGAAAGGTGGCAAAAGGACAGCCTAACATCATGCCTCAGAGAATGGAAAAGCAACAACAACAAATCCAAAAAATGCCAGGAGAAAAGAAATAATAAAGATTCTAGCAGAAATAAATGAAATAGAAAATAAATGAGCTACACAGAAAATAAACGAAAGCAAAAGTTGGTACTTTGAAAAGATAAACAAGATTGACACACCGTTAGCTAGACTAATTAAGAAGAAGAGAGAAAGGAACAGATAAATCAAATTTTCACAATGAATCAGGCAACATTACAACAGACATAATAGAAATACAAAACATCATTAGAGATACTATGAGTGACTATACACCAACAAAGAAGAAAACCTGAATGAGATGGACAAATTCCTGAACACATATAATCTATCAAGATTGTCTCAGGAAGACATAGAAAACCTGAATAGCTCCATAACAAGCAATGAGACTGAATCTGTAATAAATTACTTCCCAACAAAGAAAAGTCCAGGTCTTGATGGGTTCACTGCTGAATTTTACAAAACTTTTCAAGAAGAGTTAACTCCCATTCTAATCAAACTGTTTCTAGAGATCCAAAAGGAAGGAACTCTTCCAAATTCATTCTATGAAGCCTCCATCACCCTCATTCCCAAAATGGATAAGGATATAACAACAACAACAACAACAACAACAACAAAACTACAGACCTTTATCTCTGATGAATATAGATGCAAAAATTCTCAACAAGATACTTGCTAACCGTATTCAACAGCATATAAAAAAGATTATTCATCACGACCTACAACCATGTAGGCTTTATTCCAGGGATACAGGGTGGTTCAACATATGCATAACCATAAATGTAATACACTATATTAGCAGAAAGAAAGAATAAACCATATGATCATTTCAGTAGATGCAGAAAAAGCACTTGACAAAATACAACATTCTTTCATCATCAAGACTCTCAGTAAAATCGGCATAGAAGGATCATTTCTCAGCATAATAAAAGCCATCTATGAAAATCCTATAGCTAACATTATACTGAATAAGGAAAAGTTAAAAGCTTTTCCAGTAAAAACTGGTACCAGACAAAGCTGCCCATTCTCTCCACTTCTATTCTATATAGTACTGGAAGTCCTAGCCAAGGTGATCAGACAAGAAAAGAAGAGTTGACATTATTTTTGTTTGGAGATGGCATTATTGTATATATAGAAGACCCAATAGTATCTTTGAAAAAACTTCTCAAAGTAATAAGTGGCAGGATACAAAATGAACTTACAAAAATCTATTGCATTTCTATATACAAACAACAAGTAGACAGAGACAGAACTGAAAAAAGTAATCCCATTTACCATAGCCGCAAAAAGCATAAGATACCTAGGAATAAAGCTAACCAAGGAAGTAAAAGACCTCTATAAGAAAAACTATGAAAATCTTAAAAAAGAAATAGAAAATGACACAAAAAAGTGAAAGGACATCCCGTGTTCCTAGATTGGGATAATTAACATAACCATTATGCCATTATATCTGAATTAATCTACATATTTAATGCAATCCCTATGAAATTACAAGAAACAATCTTTACAAATCTAGAAAAGACAATCATAGAATTTATCTGGAATCATAAAAGACCCTGTATTGCCAAAGCAATCCTACACAAAAAGAATGGAGTGGGTGGCATGCCACTTCCTGACCCCAAAATATATTACAGAGCTGTGATAATCACAACAGCATGGCATTGGCACAAAAACAGACATGAGGGCCAATGGAACAGAGTAGAGACCCCAGTAGTAAACCCTAAAACATACATCCAACTGATCTTTGACAAAAGGTACTAGTTAATCCAGTAGAAAAAGGAAAACCTCTTTAGCAAATGGTGCTGGAAAAACTGGAAAACCTGCAGAAAGATGAATCTGAATTCCTATCTGTCACCATTAACAAAAATCAATTCAAAATGGATCAAAGATCTAGGGGACCAGCAGTTAGCGTAATGGCTATGTCGCTGGACTCCCACGTAGTCGACCGCGGTTCGAGTCCCGGACCCGGTGGCTTAAACTCACGCCGGGCGCGTGTGCGTGCGTGCCCAAGATCCCGAGAGGAGAATGGAGGAGAAGGGATTGCGGCGTGGCCA